AAAGTTGGTAGGTGCACAGGGTTTTGATTTTTGATAACAATAGAAATTATTACTTATGGACCTTCTTATTTATTAATCGAGTTGTCTCAAACTTTAAATTTCGCGTTGTTTAAACATGTCGTTGAATACAATTTTTAACTAAAACGAGTTCCTATATCAGCTGCCGGACTAAAGTGAAAGGGGTTGTTTACATCTTTAGAAGACGTCTCGCCTCTCTATTTCGCGTCGGCGCACTAGAATTCGGTTCCCCAGCTGTCGCTACTCAACGGTTAATATACTTTGCTACTGCATTCATTACTACTGCAATAGAGTCCACCATCAAATCCGCGATTATGACAGTCAGAAATCAACATTTCATTAGATAAACATCTTAGCCAACTGTCTAAAGTTTGATATATTATTTGCAAGTTTTGGCTTGACAGCCGAAATAAATCATGTCTCACCTGCGATTAACTGGGTGAGTATTCGAATGCCACTTTCACGAATATTAATATGTTGCGCCTCGGAATTGCGATTTTGGTTATATAGTTTCTGGAGTTTCGTTTCGGCTGATGTATGCAAAGCCAGCCGGAATGGAACTAGCGAACTAGCGATACGATTCGGAAGAGTCTGTTTGGTTTAGAATATAACGTTTTGTTTCGAAACCCTATAATCCATGTTTGCTAATTTAGAAACAATGGTTTTAGTATGAATAAGATACGGTTTGTTCGAATTAGGGCACTATCGATGGTTGAGTGAGGCTGTACGAATACGGTTGTTTATTGTTAACAAGTTGTGCTTTTTACATTCTAAAAGTTGAAATAATAAAAAAATGTCGACTCCCGGATTACTGTTTAGTATATGCGGTAAAGACATTTACAATAGAATTAGCGCTTAAATGGATTAAAGACAACAAAAAAGAAAATATAACTATAATTGCATATTCTATTTAAAAATGTATTAAAAATTCCATTAAACGTTATAATGGCATAATAATTATAAATATAAAATCCCGCTTCTGTTCTTAACATTCCTATAAAATCAAATTTATATAGTCCAAATGTTATCTTGTCGTAATAGGGAATGAAGTTGTTGACAAAGAAGAAAATAATCTCTCAGTTTGACAGATACTTATCCAATTTTTGTTCTTCAAGACATTGTTAAGTTTCGTAAAAGACAAATAAGATCCGATAGGGAATGTCTTTAGGAAAACTATTCTTTAATGTCTATCAATCCTTATTTTCTTATTTATTATTTTCCTATTTACTGCGTCACTAGAATCTATGCCAAAACAATAACAAGATTAAAACAAGATTTAAAATCGGCTTAAGAGAATCTCCTGACTGTGATTGAGATTCTTTTATACATGAGCTGAATTATTTGTCTTTGGTTATAAAAAGAATGCAATAAATAGTAATATTTCTTTCAAAAACCTAATGGAATTAGGGATTTTCCTTCTAACCAACAACGAAAAACTCGAATTTACCCATATTCCGCTCGTGTTTATTGTTGGGCAGATGAAGCTGTCGCATCAGCTGCGGCATTAGAAAGAGCGAGAAGCCTACTAGCTTGAGCGTGGATAGTTTGCATGAGTATGCGTTTTATGAATGAACCAGGTAGAATAAATGTAATTTCTGTTTTACACCGTTGCCGCCCTGCAATATAAATATTTATTTATTTATTTATTAAAAACCCAAACAGGTTTTACAACCTTTTTATAAGGGTAGTAAGTACAATAAATGTAATATTAATAAATGTTATAAATAGATAGTAGGTAGTACATGGTTTCGTTAAATATAATAATTACTTAAACTAATAAAAACTAAAATAAATCCTTTTTATTAAGCTATAAGAAATAATGCGCCCTAAAAAACAAGAAAAGGAAAAAAGAGAAAAAAAAAACACAAAAACGACATATATTTTTTTACATACTAAAATCTGCTATATATTTATTAATTATTTTTTTATACCTTGCAGGTGGTAGTGTCCAATCAATGTCTTTAATATTGTGTATCACATTTGCTAGTTTTAACATGGACTCAAGAGGGGAACAAACTGTCTGCCTTAATTTTCCAAACAAGAGTGGATATCTAGTAAACCTAGAAGGAACTTTAAAGGGAATTTTGTGTAGCAAACTACTTGAAGTGGATATATTATTTATGACTTTATACAAAAAAAGCATCATTGTTAGTATACGTCTGCTTGTTAATGAAATAATATTAAATTCTGCCCTTAATCTAGATGATCTTACATTTGTATAATCTGGCCACACATGATATTTCCTGAAATACAAGTATCTAAGAAACTTGTTCTGGGTCTTTTCAGTTGGCGCTAAATGTATTTGTGGTTGATCTCCCCACACCAAACATCCAAACTCTAATTTAGGCTTAACACATTATATAGAATTTTAATTGTTTTAATAGAAAAAATGGAAGTCTGTCTATAAATGAATCCCAGTGAACGATTTGCACTATTTACTAATTTATTAATATGTGATCCAAAACGAAATTGATTATCATATATTAAACCCAAATCCTTAACTTTATTCAATTTGTTTAAATTGTCCAAACCGATTAGATAATCAAAATTTATGGTTAGTTTTTTACGAGAGATGGACATTATACAACATTTATTCACATTAAAGTTTAATTTGTTCTCAATACTCCAGTTATGAATGTTATTAATATCCTTTTGCAACATTACGCAATCTCTAACTGTTTGTATTTTTTTAAACATCTTAAAATCGTCTGCAAATAATAAATAGTCCGAAAAATTAATGTATTCTGGAAGATAATTTATGAATAAAAAAAAAGTAATGGTCCTAAATTAGAGCCTTGTGGCACCCCTGAGTTAGCATGAAACTTTCCGGATGTATTCCCATTATGCCTTACTATAAATTGTCTATCCTGAAGATAATTTTTGAAAAGCTCTAATAAATTACCCGAGAACCCAAATTGATGTAATTTTGCTAGTAGTATATCATGGTTAACTCTGTCAAAAGCTTTCTGAAAGTCAGTATAAATTATGTCAAGCTGCTGCCTTTCCTCAAAAACTTGACTTACAGATTCACCGAATAATACTAGGTTTGTATTTATAGATCGCCCTGACACAAATCCATGTTGTTGATCGACTATGCTGTTTTTAACATAATTGTAAATTTTAACATACATAATTTGTTCAAAAACCTTAGATGGAGCACACATTAATGAAATACCCCTATAATTCTCAATATCTTTCTTACTGCCTGATTTATAAAATTTATAAATTTCCATTTGGTTGGAAAATACTTGGTTTTAATAATACAATTAAAAATATGAATTAGTGCCCTTTTCAACCACTCCTGGCAACCTTTTAAAATATATGGTGGAATTCCATCAACACCGGCGGCCTTCTTTGGTTTCAATTTCTTTATAGCAATGTCAAAATCTTTTGCGCTTACTTCAGAGAAACTCAAAACATCATGGTTATTAAAATATATTGATTTATGCATGTCGTATTTCGATTTTTCACTACTATAAACAGATGCAAAATATTCAGCAAACTTTTCGGCTGTTCCACTCGGCAATATCTTATTATCTTAAAAGTAAAATGACTCAACCTCACCCGTATTACTATTACTTTTATTAACAAAATTCCAAAAACAGTTAATGTCATTATGTATAGCTTGCTCAGTTTGTTGTATATGTTTTCGATGTTCAATATTTATTAAATATTTGAGTTTTCGCCTAGATTCCAAATATATATTATTATAATACTCTGATATATGTTTTAATTTTCTATAATTATTCTTAAGTTATATATTTTGGGACAGTTATATCAAATATATTGTAAATTTTTCTATAGAAAATATCAAGAGCAATATCTACATTATTTTCATTTGTTACCTCATCCCAAAGTATATCTCTCATCATTTCGCTCATTCTTAAAAAGTTTGCCCTTTTAAAATTATAATTGTTAGCATTATCGGCTAATCTATCCACAGCATTTCGACTAGGTTGGCTAAAAGTAAGTTTAATTTCTAGAGATGGATGTAACCTGTCCTCTGCAACTACAGGTAACTGTTCCTGCAACACCTTACAGTTGTTTGTATTTTCGTTTGAACTTATTACTAAGTCTAATGTTTTACCTTGAAAGTTTTTTATATTATTATAGAGAATAAATGAATTGAAACCAAGAAAATCAATTAGAACATTCATTTTAGAGCTAGCATTATCATAATCTATGTTATCAATCACTTTAATTTCTGGTAGATTAAAATCTCCAAGAATAAATGTATTTTTGACATCTTTTACATGAAGTTGTAAAAATTCTAAACACGATTTATAATCATTTAAATTTGCACTAGGAGGGATATATACTCCCATAATTGAAGCCTTACATTTATTATTTATTTTTATTTCAGTTATTAGTATTTCAAATACAGAACAGTGGCTATATACATCAGTTTCGACTAAAATAATATTTGCAACAAGAAAAAACAAGTAACAGATAAGAAGAATGCAATTATTATACTTCTTCATTGTAATTTTAAAATACCAATGCAATAAATATAATATACATTTACTATGCACTGTGCCACCTACTTTCTAGGTCTAAAGGTCCCTGTACCGACAGTACTGATAAATTCTCAGTCTCAGACATCAAAAAAGTTGAGAAGTCGCAAGTGGTCGAAGAGATTTTCTTGGGTTGAAGAGCTATCACAATTCAAACGGTATTCGTATTGTGAGAATGCTCTCAGTTAAAATAGCAAGGACGATATAATGGTCGAAAGAGGATGTGGTGAAATCAATTATAATTTATGAGGAGAATCCCATACTGTGAGATAAAAAATGTGCAGACTATCGCATTTATAATGAAGAGAATATGCAGTACGCTTCAGCATCGTCCAGCGTATCGACACCATTGTCATCCTCCGGATTTTTGGAACCACTTGTTGAACAGCACGCAAAAACAGAAAGTAGTTCGTCATGTGAAACATAGACATTTGTTCCAGATTTCGTTTACTGTTTATGCTTACTTACATAGTACATTCCATTATAACTATTTACGAAAAAACCTTTTATACCTTCATATGAAGGTCCTTTAAGGCTTTGTAGTTTGCAGTAGTTTTTAAAAAAACATATTAAGAATTTACAATTTTACTAATCTACTCTCGAGATATAAAGGATATAAAAATGCAAACGGTTCATTGGATACCACTTCTTCTTGATATTGATATTTGATAGTGACAATGTAAAAAATACCACTTATTTATTTTTTACTTTATAGTTTTTTTTGCAGAATGATTTTTAAAATTCTATTTTTCAAGTTTTGCTTGTATTTTTTGTTTAATTTTAATATTGATAACTTTTGACAAACACTTTATAAAACCTTATAAAACCTTATAAAACCTTATAAAACCTTATAAAACCTTATAAAACCTTATAAAACCTTATAAAACCTTATAAAACCTTATAAAACCTTATAAAACCTTATAAAACCTTATAAAACCTTATAAAACCTTATAAAACCTTATAAAACCTTATAAAACCTTATAAAACCTTATAAAACCTTATAAAACCTTATAAAACCTTATAAAACCTTATAAAACCTTATAAAACCTTATAAAACCTTATAAAACCTTATAAAACCTTATAAAACCTTACAAAACCTTATAAAACCTTATAAAACCTTATAAAACCTTATAAAACCTTATAAAACCTTATAAAACCTTATAAAACCTTATAAAACCTTATAAAACCTTATAAAACCTTATAAAACCTTATAAAACCTTATAAAACCTTATAAAACCTTATAAAACCTTACAAAACCTTATAAAACCTTATAAAACCTTATAAAACCTTATAAAACCTTATAAAACCTTATAAAACCTTATAAAACCTTATAAAACCTTATAAAACCTTATAAAACCTTATAAAACCTTATAAAACCTTATAAAACTTTATAAAACCTTATAAAACCTTATAAAACCTTATAAAACCTTATAAAACCTTATAAAACCTTATAAAACTTTATAAAACCTTATAAAACCTTATAAAACCTTATAAACCCTTATAAAACCTTATAAAACCTTATAAAACCTTATAAAACCTTATAAAACCTTATAAAACCTTATAAAACCTTATAAAACCTTATAAAACCTTATAAAACCTTATAAAACCTTATAAAACCTTATAAAACCTTATAAAACCTTATAAAACCTTATAAAACCTTATAAAACCTTATAAAACCTTATAAAACCTTACAAAACCGTATAAAACTAAAACTTAATAAAACCTTATAAAATCCATACCGGTAGTTTCTTAAAGAGGTTCGTTTGTCTCTATATTGCAAGCGCGCCGGTAGACTTTATACCGCGGGCAAAGAGTAAACAAAGCACAGGGTAAGCTTTTACGCGACATTGCCCTTTCCTTAAAAAATAGTTGCTTCTGGAACTAAAACTGGATGATTGAATCTGCAACTCTTTTACAATTTCCAGTTGCATGGAAGTAACATGGGACGGTTTTAAACCTGGACCTTGGGCGAATGGCTGCAGACCAGTTTTCGTACCTCGAAATCTTGGAAAATTACTTTCAGCATGTTTCTAATGATCCTCCAATTTAGCTGGTTGCTCTCTATCCTTGGCATAGCTAGTTTCTCTACATTGGACTCCAGTACGTGCTCCCGCAGAATAGGTAATACTTCCTATACATCATGATAAGTGGATTGATCTCGGAAGGTGTTTTACGTTATCAAATAGAAAAGATAACGCGATTCACCTTGAAGTTTCATTTCTTTTCCAGGGGCTGGTAACTGATCTTAAAGTTCTGGCAATCGACCAAAATTCTTTCGGAACACAGATGCCAGACCTCGAGCGTCGTTGATTTTGGTGGAAGAGCTATGGACCAACGAGTAGTCTTTAGGAACTGTGAGCAGATCTTGTTTTTGCTCGACCATATCTTACTTCTATATTTAGGGTGGCGCAAAAAACCAGCTATTTTTTTTTTTTAGTCTCGTATGAAAATTTGTTAATTTATCGTTTTTCAAAACCCATCTCCAATTTTGACTAATTTTGAAATTTTTAAAAATCATTGAGCGAACCCTAAAAATTTTTTTGAGCTGCTCTTTTGAACATGATAAATTAACATATTTTCGTGCGAGACTCAAAAAAAATAGTCAGCTTTTTATACCACCCTACTCCATATGCACCCATAAATTCTCCAAAGACAAGGTCAGGTGATTCTCAGAGCTGGTTTACTTCTTCTTTCTTGTCATGGTTACCCTCAAATGGAACAAGCCGGTTTTGGTGCACTACCTTCGGTTTACCGTTTGGGATCTTAGTTTTAAGGTAATTGACATCATTGATTTTTTTCTTAATGAAGTACGGACCTTCTCAAGACCTTTGAAGCTTCGAAGAATAACCCTTTTTTCTTCTTGGGTTATGGAGCCAGACTTTGTCGCCTTCCTTGAAACATCCTTCTGTGGCTTGAGTATCGTATCGCTTCTTCATTCTGTCGCTGGCGATTTAAAGATGCGAGCAAACTAATTTATGCATGTCGTCCATTTTTCTTCGTAGCTGGATCACAAAATCTTCACTGGCTATGTCTTCTCCAGGTCGACATCCAAACTCAAGGTTGCACGGTAGTCCCATCTCACTTTTGACAGATATTTTCCAATGGTCGTATTCATGTGCTCTACCATTCCATGCCTAATCTGTCACAGATTCAAAATTTCTGCCTTGGTCACTGTGGATCTCCAAGGGCACTCCAAATCAACAAATAAACTGTTTTATCAACACATCTGCAACAGTTGCGGCCTCTTGATTTGGAATGGCGTAGAATTCCACCAACTTTGTAAAATAATTCATAATCACCAAAATGTATTTATTATCATGGAGAATGGTCCAGCAATATTTAAAGCGATCCTCTCAAATGGGCTACCAACGTTGTTAAAAAAAATAAATTTTAATCAAGCGATGTACATAAAACTAAATAAATAAAAATTTCCTTGGTTTATTCGGTCATATTGTTATTATTTTCTATTATTTACGTACAAGTACAAGCTTAAATGATGAAAAATAAAAACAATATGACCGAATAAACCGAGGAAATTTTTATTTATATATAATTCTGCTACGGTCAGGAAATTATCCTTATTCAACTATATAAAACTATTAAAGTTGAAGGTGGTAGCCATGTGTGAGTTATATGTTCAAAAAAGAGGTAAATAAAACAAGGGTGGTCCTTAAGATCTCACAAGAGTAATTTAATACGACCGGTTTCGAGGAGATCAGATCTTCATCATCTGGTATGGTCTAAAATAGATAGGTAAAAACGAATGAGCTCATAACTAATAAAGTGGGTTTAAAAAATTATGAAAGTTGTCAAATATCAAGAACTCACCCGTATTACTCATCTATTTAAGACAAAAGGCATTCCTTTATAAGCTTACCAGAACATACTTCTGTAACCAGAGCATTTCTTTATAACGTTTGGTTACTCTGCTTTGGTTACATGTTACCAAAGCATATGTAGCTACATCTAACGAGGCATTTCTTTATAAGCTTACCATAACTTACTAGAACATACTTATGTAACCAAAGCAATTCTTTAAACGGTTTGGTTACTTCCATGATGTCATACGTTACCAAAATACGTAACTACTACTAACCATGATGTTTTTAGTGGTAAGGTGTGTGGTAAGGTCAGTAAGGTCCACATTTAAACATATCGAGCATGCGCAAAGTATTGTAAAGATTTTAAATTAGATACATTTTTCTGTGGTTACGGGTTATATGGTTCATTTTGTATATTTGAGTTGGGCATTTTTGTATTTACCAAAGAAAACTCTATTTACTATGAAAGAAATTACATTTGAAATACAGGGCACTGAAATAACTCTTCACGAGAGCGATGTTGATGACCACTGGATACTGTTATTTATATTGAAATATAAAGATGAAAATATGAGACAACTGGCACAAGTATGTATCATTGTTATTTCATCACAAATAACACTTATTAATTTTTTTCTTTCTTTTGTTGGAGAAGACATATTTAAGTAAATAACAAAAGAACGAAAACAAAATGACGTCTGTGACAAAAACACTTTTATTTATCTGAACAAAAACAAAGTAAACAAATCCCCAATTTGACATGTGACAACGACAAGTGCTACGAGTTACCACGGTATGTCTGACGTCATCAGAGTAACCACAACGCTGTTACGAAGTATGTCGTGGTAAGCTTATAAAGAAATGCCTTTATTTATAAGCTTACTAGAACATACTATAATAAAAAATAACAAAGTCAAAACATCCTAAAATTTCTAAAATACAAATTTCGTTTAGAAATCCCCAAACTTAAATTAAATTTGACATATGACATTCAATAATAAGGAAACCATGGTATGCGTAATGTCACCACAGTAACCACAATACTGTAACCAAGTATGTTGTAGTAAGCTTATAAAGAAATGCCTAAAGTAAACAAATCCCCAATTTGACATGTGACAACGACAAGTGCTACGAGTTACCACGGTATGTCTGACGTCATCAGAGTAACCACAACGCTGTTACGAAGTATGTCGTGTTAAGCTTATAAAGAAATGCCTTTATTTATAAGCTTACTAGAACATACTATAATAAAAAATAACAAAGTCAAAACATCCTAAAATTTCTAAAATACAAATTTCGTTTAGAAATCCCCAAACTTAAATTAAATTTGACATATGACATTCAATAATAGGGAAACCATGGTATGCGTAATGTCACCACAGTAACCACAATACTGTAACCAAGTATGTTGTAGTAAGCTTATAAAGAAATGCCTTAAGCTTAGAGATTATCACAGGGTCGGTGTAAAAAATAAGTATGCGAGTATTTTTTAAGAAATGCATAAAAACAGTAGTTGCAACAAAAAGTTGATGTCAAAACACAAGTAGGTCTAAAACTATTAATTAAAATTATTAAAATATTTCACGAGCGGACAGACATTAAGACAAAACAAATTTAAAACTTTTTTAAACCCTACAAGAACTAAAATGGGCTCTT